ACTCCCAAGCGGCAGATAAGGTTAATTTTTTGTTTTAATGATTAGTTCCTTATCTTGTACCTCACTAGGTGTTTACTTACTATTCCTCGGGCATGTTCCGAAACACATATCATGTTAGTCACATAACAAACACGCAAATGCTAGTAAAATACGAGAAACAATTTGCACTTTTTCCTTGCTGAATTTGTTCCTCGCAGTCACCAGGGTCATATAACAGTCTATTGTCGAGGTCCTATCTTTTGTCTAGAACGACAATGCACTCACGACGACAAAGCAACTTAGTTGTCATCCTCCCAATTACAACTGAGCCCCATACGAAGGAGTACAGGGTTCAATAGCAAGAGTTTGATGGTAATCTCGAACGTTCTCCAGTTGTATAACAAGCTGGTGACATTGCCTTAAACAAACCTTCCTTTCATTCTATCATGCCTCGGATGTGCAAAGGGGTGAAAGGAGTTTTCTCCCGACTTTAAAAAAAAATAAATAAATGAATAAATAAAGGTTACTACAAACATGATAAATCGTAATATTTCGAGGTTAAAATGATATTTGAAGAACAGAAGCAAAAATTAAACATCAAAACGCTACCAATTGGAATGACTCATATACTACATCAAGAGAGAAGTTAAGGTGATCAGTAAAAAAAAAAAAAAAAAATGTTAAACTAAATAAGTATATTTATTTTTGTCGACGTTTCGGCCCAAAGTTCAGACCTTAATCTCGTCAAGCGAAAGGTTCTCGCAAGATAACGATGAAGACCTGAACTTTGGGCCGAAACGTCGGCAAAAATAAATATACTTATTTAGTTTTACATTTTTTATTTTTTACTCATCACCCCAAGCTATCTTCTCTTCAGTAATTCATTACAGTCAACCATCAGTCCACAATTAGAATAATATGGAATGATGGGTCATTCATACATTGGAAGATAGGTTGATCTCCCGTTTCGTACGAATTTCGAAGAAAAAAAGAAACATGAAAAATAAGAAGTTAAGTATAAACACTTATCTATAACAGACATCTTCTAGGGAAAATAACCGCGTGAGGCACTAGCGGATTCAGGATTTAATTTTTTGGGGTGGGGGGGAGGCTTCAGCCTGAAAGATTTTTTTTTCATATACATATAACAACAATTAATTAGAAAAATAAAAGAAAGAAATTAACTACCTATATGAAATGGTGTTCATGTCGTTCTTGAAGTCCTATTAAATGTAATCAAACGAACAAGAATACTTTAAGAGATAGTTTTTAATATTTTTTTTCAGTAAAACATGGTTATATTTTACCATTGGGGGGGGGGAGGACTTCAGCACCAAAGGCCCCCCTCCCCGTAGATCCGCCTGTGGCGTGAGGGAAATAGAATTTCAAACGACGAGACACTAATAGCGTCAACAACTGAAGAAGGTTAAAACGAAGGGAGAAATAAATCAAATTATCCTCAGTGGGACCAGAACCTCCTACTTGCTAACCATGAAGAATAAAAATATAATGATCGAGAAAGATTTAGAGGCCATCGTCATAAGCAGGGAGGAAAATCGATCAAGTCTACGGGACAGAAGAATTATGGGTATCAGTTTTTTCTTTTTCTCAACAACTTATTTATTCACCTTAAAGCACAACGGCTCAAATTACTTAGACATTAGAAAAAAGAAATAAGATAATTATGGAATAAATAGAAATTTGTCAAATTGTGTTATGGGACATTTGAGAGAATCAGATTTTGACGATTTGAATGCTAAGTTTAATCGTAAAAAAGGATCGATACCTGGGATAAAAATAAATGAACTCCAAGTTTACATTATCACTTTTTCCTCGTTCCAGTTGGAATGCAAGAAATTTTACAGAAAATCAGAAGTTTTCTTGGGGCATGATCAATCAATGGAATGGCCCACATATGAAATATTCTAGACAGTGTTGTAAATAGTTCGGAAGGTTTCTCAATGTGAATCGAGAAAGTTCCTGAACTCAGCGCTAATTCCATCGATGGATTTCATTAATCGATTCAAATCAGTAGGGATTGTTTAAATCGATGGACGACTATTTATGCTTAGTTTATGACCAAGCTGATGGATTCCAGCGGAAGGTACAACACTTCTAGAAGCTAACATAATCCATAAAAATGTTGTAAGGGAAACTACTACAAGAAATAAATAATTACTGAATTGTTGACTTTTAAAACTTTAATTAAAACATATAGAAAGTAAATTTAAATGCGTGAACGTAATTGAGAAATAACGACATAAGCTTAGATTCAGCGGATTCATCGATGGAGTTGCTGAACTCACTAGCAGACCCAGGTAATTAATTGTGAGGGGAGCTTCAGCTCGAAAGCTTTTTTTTTTCAGAAAAATAACGATAATTACTTTGGAAAAAAATAAAGAAACCAACTACCTATACGAAATGGTGTTTAAGTGATTCATGAAGTCCTTTTAAATGTAATAACACGAACAATAATACTTTAAGAAATAATTTTTTAATATTTTTTCTATAAAATATGGTTATATTTTACCATTTTGAGGGTAGGGGCTTAGGCCCTAACCCTCCCTCCCCCCGTAGCTGAGCCATCAGTGTACAACCGATGAATAAAGGAACGAGCTGAATTTCATTGATTGATGAATTTAGAAACTTTTCCTGCGCTAATACAATTCGGCTACCCATATCTAAACATAAGAACACCTATAATTTCTGACAGGTATTTAACAAAAACATGGATTCTGATTTAATTATAATAAATTATAGTTACACAGCAAGACAATTTATTTACAATATTAATAAATGGCTAGCTATAAAGTCCTAATGTTTTCTTTGAATTGAAAAATTTCACCATAATTTTATTTAAATCAAAAACTTAATTACTTATATATCTTACTTTATTAAATCAATGAATAACAATTCTTTCAATTAATTTATATGAATAGCGATTCCATAAAATAAATAGTTATTTGTTTTTTTAATATATATTATTTTATATTTATAATAAATAAATGTATATATCAAAAGAGAGTCATTAGTATTTAAACATAGATTATTTCTTCTGTCGCTCTATAAACAAAATTGTCCAGGAAGAATGGCTGACTGCACTTTGTTTTTTCACGTATTCATAATAGCAACAATTTTAAAACGTATTGAAATATAAAAACAATTATACATAAACATAGAAGTCATAAAATAAATATATATATATTCCGGACAGATCGACAAGAATTCAACCTTCCACATCCCCTCCTCTGCATCACCAACAGGAACTCCTTTAATTTATCACTATTTTTGTACGTTTAATTTCACGCTTTCTTACAACATTCGTCGCCGGTGACGTTAAAACTGCACGATTAATTACAGAATAATTCTAACCATATTAAATAATTAATTATTCAGATACTATACCAAGCGAAAACGGAATGAGTTGATCGTTTAAACGCCGATAGAGCCACGATTAAAAACAAATAAAAAGGTAATCAAATAATAAATACCAAACTAATTTTTCGTCCCATCAATTAATTATAATGGGCTTTGTAAACAGTGAAGAATCATTGTGATCAAAACAGATTTCACATTAATTAATTTAAAAACGTCATGTTATATAAAAACATATTTAACGAAAATACAATAATACAATACTTTATAATTGTTTTAAATAAATTAGCAACTAAAATAATAAAAAAAAAAAATACAAAATAAAAATAACATTTCACTAAATAAAAAATAAATATGATTGTACATAGTTTTAAAAAATTAACACTATAATACATACACCTAATTACTTTATGTAAAACATTTCAAGATGAATTACATTCATCCAATAACCAAAAATTCAAGACATCAAAACAAACCAATAAAAAATACTCAAAACTACCATACTTATTCTATTTAAAAAAAATCAGAATTTTCTTAATATTTTTAAACAACAATAAAAAAACCACACAACTCCCACTCTACAAATACATATTTACTAAATAAATACTATACCAAAAATCCACCTATAAATTGTATCTAATCAAGGCTATTTCCACCCTCAATAATTTTTGGTGTTTAAGTCAAATTCTGCATTAGATGTCAAGTATGTAATTGAAATCAATTATATATTTATCTTAAACAGCACAAATTAAATACATAAATGATAGTGCGTAAATATTTTTTTCAGACAATTATTGATATGAAAGCCAGTATAATAAATCGTCGGTTTATGGAATAAGTCATTAAATAATCTTAAATCACTGAAACACTTAGATGAATTTAAACACTGTTAATTCAGAACATTGTATATTCAGTATTACTCTGCTTTATACATATAAGAGTTTTTGTCATTTTGATACACTTACAATGCTTTTTAACGATAAGTAATGTCGAAGTTCACAAAAATGTATCTGAGAGATTAGCATCATCAAAAATGTACATATTGACTTTTTGGAATAAACTGACAACATATGCAATTAAAAATATTTGACATAAACATTTCCTTTTTAAAACCAGAAAATAATTCTCTTGTAACTATATTTGATAATACAAAGATCGGTGTCATTTCAGTGCATTGGTTAAATAAGATAAAAATTCACAGAAACATTTTTAAAACTTTAGATCCATCAAAAATGTACTTAGTGACTTTATTGTTATTAGCGATCACTCGTGATTATAAAATAACCAAATTAGTTGAAGATGGTTAGGGATGGTTGACAGCCGAAACGTCACGAAAATCAAGTGTGTGTTCAGGAGAACCAATTTTGTATAATTTTGAGGTATTAAAATGTATTTCTGGGTTACTTAATTATTATTATTTAATTAAAAAATGGACATGATGTCTTTTACTTCCGGGGCATGGAGTTTATTTAATATTTTTTTGTTGTCACATCAAATAAGGAAATTATGTTTACGATGGTTATGATATGCACTGTTGACAACCAACTTCCGACATAGATTTCGTCTGATACGCATCGCTACTGCCTCGTTCATCCACTACAACTAACCCTAAGACACTCTATAAGAAGGATGTACTCACGATGACCATGTGTGAGTGTGGAATCCACGAAGACGAAGATACCATAGAAGAACAAGAAGACACAACCCGGGCTGCCTCACGGCCGGTACTGACGAGAGTCGAAGCCCCCACTCTCCAGTGCGGGTCTTTGTACCGGATCTCTGTGTCAGATCCGTCTGTGCTCTGTCCTACTTAATCTATTTATTTACCTGTCTCCTCTTCCCTTTATAGCTGCGGGGTTCAGATCAATGATCGGCCAGAAATAGAAGGGGCCGAACTCTCGTATTCGTTAATTATATATCGATATAAAAAAATTAAATAAAATCAAATATAATCACTGAAAAGATGAGATTGCAGAGGTGGCACAGTGAGCTGTCCTAGGCAATCTACAGTGAATACTTTTATGGTATATAACACGTTTTTAAAACATAGTGAAATTTACAACTGTATTACATAAAAAATACAACTAGTAAATTTATAATAGGTAACATGCCATGTACAATATGAAGAGAAACTACCCATTTATAGCACTCCAATTATAATTCTATATTAGAAGGTCCCATCTTCTTTTCAGATGCCTCGGAGAGTTATCAGCGATAGAAGAGGAAGCAAGGTTGAAAACGAGAGGGTTCGGATGGTTCAGAAGTTTATTATGGAAGGATAGATAGCTAGAGTTGAGCTAGATCGGAAACATATGGTACATTAAGTTCGTTTAGACGATTTTGTGACAGAGTAAGGAGAATTAAGGAATTTGAAGGTTTAGTAGAGCGCCAAAGCTTGTAAGCCAAACAAACAATATTATAGTCATATATACGACTCATCTGTAAATAATTGGAAGTTTTAAGCGTTTGTCTAGTAAGTGCTGGAGTAGTCGAAAACATTCGGTTTCAAAGTCGTTTCAGTCTGGTATGAGAATTCCAAGTGAGTCGTTTGTACAGGTGGAGTCGTAGGGTATCGGATTTGTTCAATAGGGATAAGTGGAGTGTTAAAGAATACTGTAAGAAGACAATGAAAGTCATAGGTTTTTGACGAAGGGTAAAGGTAATTTGACCGGATTTATTGGAATTTATTCTAATTCATGGAAAACAACATAAAACGAGTAATTAGAAGATGTTTAAGCTTATACTGAAACAAGTAAAAAGCTCGAAAAGAGACATTATGAAGGGGACAATCCAAATTATAAAGCCCTGAGTCTATAACGTAGAAAAGTGAACAGTTACCTTGCCAATGTTGCGTCAATCCAGGTTTCATCAGGGCAGAAAAAACAATATCACATATACGAAGAAAGAAAGGAGAAAAAAAAATTGCTGTTGGCATCTCATAATGCGAAACAAAAACATACTGAAGGAAAATGGATAGGAAGGTTATATGAAACATCTGATTAGCAGAGATACACGAAAAAATCCTCATACTTGAATAATTACTTTTTTTCTATTTCATACTTTCTGCATAAGTGTGATCTTGTTTTTTATAATATATATTTTTTAAAATTATTTTTCAAATATGAGGATTTTTTTCTGTGTCCCTTCTAATCAGCTGTTTTATAACTTAAATTTAATTTTATTAATATATTTTTGTATTATTATTTTTCAAACTTGTTTTATATAACCTTCCTCTCCATTTTCCTTCAGCAGTATGTTTTTGTATCGCTTTATGAGATGTCAATAGCAATTTTTTTTTTCCTTCCTTCTTTCTTCGTGTATGTGATATTGTTTTTTCTGCTGTGATGATGCCTGAATTGGTGAAACGATAGCAAGTTCACTATTTACACTTTTACAATCAAACCTGTACACTTTATTATTGAAAATTGACTCTCAATTCTCAATGTTTATCATTAAGTATGATCACATTGATTGTTTTTGTTTCGACTAGCCCTTATTTCCTTGTTTCTTTATTTTCTTAATTAGTTTAATTAAGGAAATAAGTCCAATTATATAAAAAAAATAATGAACATTGAAAGCTGATAACCAATGCTCAATAATAAAATGTAAGGATTAGAGTGAACAACTAAGAAATTTCATTATTAAGATTAGGATTAAAATTTCTTAAAAAAAAAAAAATTGATTTGACCCAGAGAACTCCTCAAAAAAATTCTCTAGTTTATATTATGTATATACATTATGAGTGATAGTTAATGTAATTATTTGGAAACAAATAATATAATAATATAAAGAAAAATAAATCTATATATATTTTTTATTTTTTACGTACGAATATATTTGAGCTTTTGATCGAGTCTGGCACCCAGGACTACTTTACAAACTCCGTAAATTCCTACATCCTACATACTTCCTCATTATCCGTTCCTATCTAACTGATAGATACTCAAAAGTCAATCACAATAATGCTTATTCATCCCTCTTTCCCCACTCCGCTGGTGTTCCTCAAGGTAGTATCCTTGGTCCTATCCTTTACTCAGTTTATACAGCTGACATCCCAACACATCCTAACACTGTTATTACCACGTATGCCAATGATACATGTGTCCTAACCGTTAATAATGACCCAACCATTGCATCCCAAACTCTTCAATCGCACATCACAAGCCTTGAAGAATGGTGTCAAAACTAGAGGATTAAAATAAATTCTAATAAATCCCATCAAATCACCTTTACCCTTCGACGTAAACCTATGACCTCATGTCCCACAGTATCCTTTAATAATACCCCATTTATCTCTGTTGAACAAATCCGATACCTTGGACTTCACTTGGACAAACGTCTAACTTGGAATCCTCATACCAGACTGAAACGACAAGAAACCGCTCGACGTTTCCGACTACTCCAACACTTACTAGACAAACACTCTCGAATTCCTCTCGTATCCAATCCTTACAATCCAAAATCCTTCGGAAAATCCTCAATGCTCCTTACTTTGTCACCAATAAAATAATCTATAATGACCTTAATGTTCCTTATGTTTCCGATTTGGCCCAATCCAGATACCAATCCTTCCATAATAAACTTCAGAACCATCCGAATCCTCTCGTCTCTAACCTTGCTTCATCTTCTATTCCTGATAACCCTCCGAGGCGTCTGAAAAGAAGATGACCTCGAGATCTCTTATTGTAAATTACATTTTGTATCTCTTATTGTAAATTACATTTGTACAATGAGATCTCTTATTGTAAATACATTTTGTTTTTAGAGTGCTACCAGTGGGTAGTTTCTCAACAAGTCATTTCATGTTATTATTTTCTGTTATCAAATTTACTTAATGTATTTAATTTTTTAATACAGTTGTAAATATCATGAATAAATAAAAAAAAAGACTATATTTGAAAATATGTTAACTAAGTCATTGGATATATTGCATAATTTTATTTTACGGTTTTAGGCAAAATGAAATGAACTATCGATTTCCCGATGCTTCAAATTTGCTGCGAGACTGTGATAGAATGTTCAGGTAATAATAATAAATAATAATGAGGGATGAGTTATAAAATCCTAATATATGTTGATACATATAATTATCTCTAAAAATAAAATAAAATTTCAATAATAGGAACATACAGTGAGGTAAAATATTTGTGTATCAATTTCTAGAACATAACTTAGCCATCTAGAAGACTTGTCTTATTTCCTTAATTCATTTTAGTTTGTTCATTCTATTGTATATAGGTATGTATGAGTTCTTTTTATTTATTTATTTTTAGGTTATTTTATTCTTATTTACTGTATGTATATTATTTTTCTGTATAATTTATTTTATTTATTGTACATAGGGTGTGAATGTGATCTGAGAACACTATTATAAATGTCCTTGAGACAGATTGTAATATTTTTCAATAAATAAGTTTAAAAAAAAAAGTTCATTCATTTAGATTGATTGTTATTAATTTTATTTTTGTTCTTAAAAATATTAGGAGAGGGGATGGCAATCGACCCCTTGAACTCCGAACTCTACGCCTGACTGACCCCATCCCTAAAGAATTTATCCATTCTTCATAAACTATTATTCAGATTTTTAAGACAAGCAGTTTTTATGGCGCCCTCTCCATTTTATCTTTCTATCCATATCTCTATGGAGGAGAAAGAGGGGGGGGGGGGACGAAACGATATTCTCGTCCCCTCTCTATTTTTATTGAGGGAGGAGAACGATCGACCCCTCGAAATCTGCGCCTAAGGTCTGACCCACGAAGAGAAGTCTTTTTAGAGTGTGAATTCATAAAAAGTGTAAGTTCATTTATAAATAATATGTTTGCAAATGCGTAGAAATTTAAAATTAAGATACGCATACAAATTATAAAAGGCAAATGCGATCCAGGATCATCAATACCGGATCCAGGAATTAATTTTTTTTTAACCGTTCTTTTTTATTTTCGATGAGAGTAATAACTCTGACAGAAAAAGAGAGAACAAATACAAATAAGAAATGATGTTTAAGTGGCCCTGAAAAAAAAATTTTAAAAATAGGTAACTAGAAGAACAATAATACGTTTATGGATAAATTTGTTATATTTTTTCTTATCACCTATTTTTATTTAGTAATAAAGTTTTTTTTTTTCACCGATGGCTAAGTAACGCCTGCTTAATCAGCTATGCGTAATCTTGCAGTCCATTTCACTAAAGGAACATCTTATGTCCTGTAATGCAGGGTCAGGTATGCAACTTTGAACATTGAAGTACCTGAGTTCTACAGCTCGAGTACAACCCCTCATGAGAGCCAGGCGTATATAGCAACCCAGAGACTCCGGCCAACATTTGTGAAAGATCTCAGGATCGAATACTAAGTGAGGGGGATATTTTTTTCTTCTTTTAGTTTGTAGTAAAGAACTTTATTTAACGTTAATATGAGCTATGAACACAATTTTTACAAAAAAATAATATATCATTAAAATAAATATATATATATATATATATATATATATATATATATATATATATATATATATTTTATATATTTTATTAGTGAAAATTATGAGTTTTCAGTATAGGAATGATTAATAAAAAGAAAAATGTTATAAAAATGAAGAAAAATGTATTTCCTAAATAAATAAATAATAATTTTCACATAATGAACATTTTTTATTGATTAAGTAACTATATAAGTAATAAAAAGAAATACTAACAAAAATTATTCCACCTACACATATATTTTAGAGTAATTGCTCATAATAGAAATAACGATTAATAAAAAGAAACTTTTTTTAACACTAATATATTTATATTTATAATATATATATCTCCTGACACTTGGTTTCGATCCGAAGATTATTATTAGATGGATTATTCATTATATAGAAATTAATTTGTTGTTAATTTAGGAAATATTTCTTCATAATTTTTAAAGAATATTTCCTGAATTAATAACAAATAAGTTTCCATGTAATGAATAATAATAATAATAAGTATTATTATTGTTATATAGGTACTTTTTATACTATATAAGTAAAAATAAAAAACTCTAACAAAAATTATTTAACCTACATATATATTTTATAATAGTTTAAATAACGTAAAATAGTTGTTTTCAACCAATGCTACGATTCCTTTAAAATATATATACATTTCAGTATTTTTTAAAATTGTGAACGGCACAATATGTTAATAACAACATCAAGATTTTTTTGTAATATCTAACTTGATCTCCTGAAAAGATTTATTTTCTGTTCGAAAGAAAATAATGGTTAAAATTTAAGAATTTGATATTTATTGAACTGTATATTGGTGAAAGGATCGAGAATTAAAATAATACAGCCCAAATAAAAAAACAAACAATATAAATGCATTTTGCAATAGCTTTTATTTATTCAATTTATCGAGTAATAAATAATAACACATACATTAATTATTAAAATTGTTTTCTAAAGAATTTATTTTACGTTAATAACAGTTATGGGCACAATTTGTGAAATGGGGGTTGGTCTGCCGTTAGGCGGATAGGTGGTATCCTCCTGTATTATTAATAAAAATATATTTTTTAATATTATTATTATTTTATTTTGCTCTGCATACATTTCTGAATTACAATATATCAACCGATTAATTTTTGTTTGTTTGTGAAAAATAAGAAACATATATTATTGTACTTAACGAATTCAAATGCATAAGTTACAAAAACCATAAAACGCTTTCAGTAAAGAGGCCTAGTAAAATTTTGACAATGAGGCCAAAAAAAATAAAATCTTATGACAACCATTGTTCCCTGGCCCCCTTTTAATATTAAATTCAGCAATAAAACCAACAATAAACGCTATTTACAGCTAAGTGAGGGAACTTCAAGCCATACTTGTCCCTCCAATTATTAAATAATATGTGTAATGACTCGTTTAAAAAAAATTAGAAGGTTACAAAAAAAAACCGTTTATTTTATTAACCTGGCCAAGAGGCTGTCTATCACTCATTTCAACTAAAGGACAAAGTTGCTTAACTTTTTAACAAGTCCTTCGGATAAGCCGAACTCAAAAGTTATTAACTAGGTCTACGCGATAATAGTTCCTACAGACCAGACCAAAAAAACTTCCATCATTATAAGCCTTAAAATATAATAGAAGTCTAGTTAGAAAATTTATATAAAAGAGCTTCCATAACAAAGCATCTAGTTGGTACACAAAGAGTAAACAAAAAAATAAAAACATAAAAAACTATGCTATGTGTTCGAGACCACAAGATAAAAGTGAAACGTGGCGAGATTAATAATATGAAATATAAATATTTTTATGTTCACTAAGTAATGTGAACTATTTTTTTTTTACGATTTTTACGACCATTGTCGAAACACTATAAAGTGCAATAGAAAATCGAATAGAAATACTTAATTTCTTATTTTTAAACTAAAAATATATTTATTTTTACTTCTGCGAATCAGTTTCTGAATTCACCATTGTATTTAAATTTTGAGATATTTTAGTTCAAATATTCAAAACAATAATCATTATTTAGTTTATCCATTCATCTTTTCCCCTTTCCGATTCTCTAACACATCATCAACTCAAAATACAATTTTTAATTATAGCTCATTACAAAGAAGATGAAATGCTGAACATTTTCCTCGCTTGCACTGTGCATGTCCGAATTTTAGTTTTTAAGATATTTGAATCTATATGATCAACAGAACTCTTTGTTTTTCGACACTCTTTTTTCCTCTAAGATACCAATTTGAATAATAGCTCATTATCAAGAGGATTAAATGCTGAACACTTTCCTCGCTTAAAGTATGCAAGGAAGATTTTAAGTTTCTTGGATATTTTAATCCAAATGCAAAAACAATTCAATTAGTCGACTTGAGCCGCCTTTACCCGAATGAGCGTTATATATTCGAGCTCAATCTCATTCCCTAACCACAAAAAAATTAACCAGTTTAAACTATATATAATAAATGCTTACGCATATATATATATATATATATATATATATATATATATATATATATATATATATATGTATATATACACACACACATATATATATTTATAGTAATTTAAATATCTTTAAATACTTGTTTGTAACCAAAGCTACGATTCTTTTTAAATAGTAATAAAACATACCTTTAAATAGTATAAAACATACCTTTTAGCAATTTTTAAAATATTTTAATACCAACATTAAGATTTATTATAATCTCAAACTTAACCTTCAGAAAAGAATTTAAAAAAAATCTCGACGGAAAAAAAACAAAACATTATAATCAAAGCAAATGAATTTGATATTTATTGAACTATATATAGATGAAATGATAAAATAAAATAAAAATATGAAGTCCGTCAGAATAGAAGAACAAACAATACAAAAGCGATTTACAACAACTTTTAATTTTTTCAATTGATTGAGTACTATTTTTAATAATAATTTAAACATTAATTACGAAACTTTTTTCACTGACTTCGTACATTAAAGTACGAGAGTTTTACATACACTGTCACAACCCCTCACGATAGCCGAGCGTTCTAAACCTTAGACCTCTGGCAAGACTTTGTATCTGAGATGATCTTAGGATCGAATCCAAGTGAGGGGGATATTTTTTTTTTCCCAATTTATACTGAAGAATTCTATTTACCGTTAATAAAATATATTAACATAATTTTTATACTTTAATTTTAACTTAAATATAAATTAAAAGAATATTTTACAACTAAAAATTTGATTTTCCAAGAAAGAAATAATGATTAATAAAAATAATTTATTTTTTACACTTTAAAAATTATGAAAAAATATTTTGAATTATTACAAATAAATTTCCACACAATGAAAAAACTTATAATAATCTTTGGATCGAAACCAAGTGAGGGTGATATTTTTTTTTCTTTTTTGTTTATACTGAAGAATACTATTTACCGTTAATAAAATATATAAACGTAGATTTTATACTTTAACTTTAACTTAAATATAAATTAAAAGAATATTTTACAACTAAAAATTTGATTTCCCAAAAAGAAATAATGATTAATAATAATAATTATTGTTTACACTTTAAAAATTATGAAAAAAATATTTTGAATTATTACAAATAAATTTCCATACAATCAAAAATCTTATAATAATCTTTGGATCGAAACGAAGTGAGGTGGATTTTATTTTTATTATAGTGAAGGAGTTTAGTTCAAGTTAATAAAAGCTACAAACAATAAGTTTTATACTTTAAATATAAATAAAACAAAAATTTTACTAATAAAAATTTGATTTCTTATAATACAACTAATGAATAATAAAAAGACTTTTTTTTTTACACTTTAAAAATTATGAAAGAATATTTCCTGGATTAATAACAAATAAATTTCCATATAATGAATATTAACAATAATGAAAATTATTATTATTACTATTTAGGTTACTATATAAGTAAAAAATATAAAAATACTAACAAAAATTATATCATCTACATATATATTTAATAATAATTAACGTTATTTTTTAACCGATGCTACGATCCCTATTAAATATAAATATTGTGTTGGATGCATTGCTTTTCATTTTTCGTATATTTATTAAAACATTTTCAGAAACCCAAAATGCGGAGAATAAGATATATGAACGATTTTTTCATTATATGCAGCCTATAAGAATCCAGGGACCAAATCTATAATAAGGAATGAACTTAAACTAAATCGAAATTAAACATAAATATGAAAAGTTATTTACATCTTTATAGAAAAAAACGTTGCGCAAATTATTACTTTTTTTTTTTTTTCCTACCCCTCAGGAATTTCTTGAATAAATACAGTATGTATATAAATGTATATATACATAAATTTTTCAACTTTCCTTTTATTGCCCAAGGGCATTTTAAGTTAAGAGGGCTCTGCACGCTGTATGCATTCTTTGCATCTGTGGCCAGAGGCCTTTTATTATACCACTGGGCGTGGAGGGACCGCCCTGCATTAGCAAATTATTACACAATGGTTTGTGATTTTTATATAGTTATATATCGAATATATGTAGCGAGTAACACTACATTGATTTCCACTTCTGCAAAAATTTTAATATCAGCCTTTTTCCAGTTATACTCGTTTTTTTTCAGTTTCTTTTCTGGGAAGTACGTTATACACATAGATTTAAAAAATTTCAAGGAGAATACTTGACAAGTTTCATTAAAATCGTTACAACCGTGCAGCGCTACCGAAAGACGGATGGCATTGTCTTGCCGGATCATTACCAGAAGACATATGACTTTAATTCCAAATTTCAAAAGAATCGGCCCATTAGTTTTGTAGAAAAGGTGTAGACGACGGACGGAGAAATATATTTTTTTATTGAATTTTCGAAGATACTTTTTGATTTCGCTGGCCGATTA